TCTCAAAATTGATCAGTTATGTGATTACAGGAAGTTTCCAGAAACAGGAAGTTTCCTCCCTCTCCTTTAATGTCAGTTTCAGTTGATTCATCAAAGTACCGGAGTATTCTAGAGGTGGGGATGCAAAGGGAAATGAACAGTCTAATTTTTCTCTTTCCATCTTTTAACTGAGTTTGGCTTAACCTGGGGATGAATGACTATTCCCATCACTTGTCATGTAGACTGACTGCAGGAATCATGAGCCATCAGGAACACATCAAGAAGGCATCAGCTTAGGAAAATCCGTCCTGATCCAAGCCTCTTTTTTTTTTTTCCATTGGGGGCAGCTTCTCTCATTATTGTTCTTTTTCAGCCATTAAAACCTAATACATTCCCTAACTTTTCATTTACAAGCAGTTTCCTTGCATCATTTGGTATTTCTACTAGATATTAAAAATAGGATCTCCCCACTTCAAAGACGACATTTCTACAACCTTTTAGAAGGTTAGGTTTAAATATATACCCAGCACAGCCAGATACCTAAGTTTCTGAAAGAACACAAAAGGCTTTTTTCCCATACATACATAACACACACACACACACACACACACACACACACACACACGTACGCGCCCCCCCATATATATATACTTTATATATATATATATAAAGTACCCTGCTGTATTAAATCAAGGATTCAAGTGAATCCCTCAAAGGACTCCTGCCCTTAAGAAGCACCATAAGGATATTGCTTGTTTACAATCCACTTAGTGCATCATCCAATAAGTAGACTTTGATGGTTCACCAGACAACCTCCCTAGTTTGTTTCTAGGAATGTTCTTTAGGTTAGTTGTGAATAGAAGAACCTGTGGATGACATGCGGAGTTTAAAATAAATAGCAGATGTTTTCCCCCCCAACTGCATAGCTCCCGATGAAACATTTGATGACCAATCAGTCCATTCAGAATCCCCAGCCATACCTTGATATTTTTCTTTCCCTTTATTACTGTAAAAAAGCAGAAAGAGGATAGAAGGTCTGAAAATAGTCTGTCTCTGCAAGGTGTTATCCCTACTGTTGTTGCCTATAAACCTTTAGTCTCATTCTCACATCCCACTTAACATGCCATGAAGATGCTCACTGACCTGTTCCATTCTCACTGTGCTGTAGTGGAAGTTGTCTATAGTTGTCCACTATTAAAATTGTGTTTTTCTCTTTATCCTACACAACAGTTGCTAAATAAATGATCTATGACACTTCCATTATAGGGCGAGTGATAACACATCCAAGATAGGGATCTACCCAGTTCCTATTGGCTATTAACATTTCTATGAACATGACTTGCTCCATCTGGTCATTGGAAGCTAATCTCTATGACTTGGACTGAGGAAGAGATCAGATACCTGGCTTGTATAGTGGATAATTTGTTTTTGACACAGAAATATAAATCTAGCGGAAGATCAGCACAATGTAGTTTTCCGCTGACACAGGATGATAGGTCTACACATTAATAATAACATACGTAGGGATGGGAAAACTGCCTAGTGATCCACAATATGCACATGGACATGACCTTAGAGATCAATAATGTTGGCAACACCCTGTATAGTTTCCGTATAAGGAAAGAAACTCTTACAAAGTGTTATGTTTTGCTATTCTTCCAACCTGTAATTATTTTTATTTATTGCCTTCTCTGAGAAAATAGATGGGTGTAGGAACAAGAAAGAGGTACCTCCTCTATGAAATACAAGGATTAAGCAAGCAAAGGACTGGCAGCAACTGCCAAAGACAAATGAGAAAGTTCATAGGTAGGAAGTTAGAGTTCCCTTTACTATAAGAGCTCTCTACCACTCAGGGCATCACTTCATTTCCTCAGTGATCCTCTTCTTTGAGAAGAATTGAAATTATAAACCAGTTTATGTTGCAATGTAATAACAGTATAAAAATGTTAGCACCAGGCTTCAAAGCAATTACCTAAAGCAAAGGATAAAAACAATATCACAACAAAATAAAGCCATTAAAAAGAGTTTTATTGAAAAGACAGAACAATTAGATCTGGAACACAACATTTCAGATGGTCCCAGCTGCTGTCATTCATGCTTTCATGACCCAGACCTGATAGCTCTAGAAAAGGTGTGCGCGTGGAAAGCAGTATAGCAGGAATCTCTCTCTCCACACAGGTTCCTCTCTTCCTCTCCAGCTGCCCATTTATGTAAGCCTGAAAGTCCCAAAGTTTGCTCTACGAGGGATTCAGCATTTCTTTGTTTCTGATCACAGGACCATATAGCTCTGCCCACCACTGTTTATGCTTTTCAAGCCAACTCCATTATTTCACTAGGACTCCTTAGCAAACCTGAGAAAGGTTTCCCTTCACTGAAGTGTGCAGACAATATAACAACAGGGAGGGACAGAAAGAGAAATCTCCTTGTTTTGCAACAGGAATTGAATCTAACATATAGTCATGAGAACAAGAAAGTAAACCTAAACCCTCTTCAAGTTCTATAGTTTTACCAATTAGGACATAGTAAAAATTATCTGGTCATTAGCAGTCCTTAAAAATAGGTAAATACAACCTCAGATGGATAACAACACATGACATATAACGCCATGTCATCATTTATTTTTCAAAAAGAACGCCAAAATGAATTTTAACAGATTAAATTAATATCTTTCTAACCACTTTCCCTTTTCCTTTTATCTTTTTTCTTGCGTGATGTGTTTCACTTTGAGAGTGGGCAACTAAATTTCATTTTTGATGCGTGCCGTTGTGCCCACAGTAAAAAAAATGACAATAAAGGTTATCTTATCTATCTTACTTCAAACAAAAACTTGGACTGGGACAGCCTGCCTAGTTTAGTTTGTAAGAATGGCATTGGGTGGGTGCCTTGCTTTTCAGTTTCCCAGGTACTAATATATATGTACAAATATATCCAAAAAAATGCCCAGCCATACGGGTCCAGGAATTTGACAGACACCCAGAAAGATATCTTGATGTTTAGAACCGCTGTTCAGAACATAGAGCTGCTGTGACTTATCAAAAAGCTTGAATTTTGTTTCATTTGTCCAAGGAACATTCTCCCAAAAGCCCTGTAATTTATCAACATGGTTCTAGCAAACAATCTATTTTTTTGTGCTGGCTTTCAGAAAGCAAATCTTCATGGGTCTTCAACCATAGAGGCTACTCTTAGTCAGACAGTAAGGGATGGTGGACTTAATATTGTTATCCTTTATCTTAGAGGTCAGCTAGGATCTTTTCTGAGGTTTCTTTTCTCCACCATTTAAGTTATTGTTCCGTTCAGTGTGGTGTCAGTTTTCCTCTTATGGCCATGTCCAGGAAGGATGACAACGGTCCCACGTACCTTAAACCTCTTGATAATATTATCAGTCATGGTCACAGAAACATGAAGCTCTTTGGACATAGTTTTCTAGCCTTTACCCTTCACAATACTTATTTATTTTATTTGTTTATGCATTAAATATATTATTTGCTTAATTGTTTATACAACGAAGAAAACCAACCCAGAGCTAAGGAGAAATTTCCTGACAGTTAGAACAATTAATCAGTGGAACAATTTGCCTCCAGAAATTGTGCATGCTCCAACACTGGAGGTTTTAAAGAAAAGATTGGACAATCACTTGTCTGAAACAGTATAGGGTTTCCTGCCTACGCAGAGGGATGGACTAGAAGATCTCCAAGTTCCCTTCTAACTCTGAAATGGTACTACATCCATATGGAGAGAAATAAGCAGTGGGGTACCACAAGGCTCCGTCTTAGGCCCAGTACTCATCAATATCTTCATTAATGATTTAGATGAGGGAATAGAAGGAGAACTCATCAAATTTGCAGATGACACTAAACTGGCAGGAATAGCCAACATCCCAGAAGCTCAGGATCCAAAAAGATCTTGACAGACTTGAACAATGGGCCCTATCCAACAAAATGAGTTTTAATGTGGAGAACAGCAAAGTCTTACATTTAGGCAGGAAAAATCAAAGGTTTAAGTACAGATTAGGCGAGACCTGGCTCAAAAGCAGCAATTGTGAAAGGGATCTTGGAGACCCAATGGATGATCACTTGACTATGAGCCAACAGTGTGCAGCAGCAGCCAAAAAAGCTAATACATTTCTAGGTTGTATAAACAGAGGCATAAAATCAAGATCACGCAAAATATTAGTACCGTTCTATAAAGCTCCAGTAAGACCACAACTGGACCAATTTTGGTCACCATATCACAAAAAGATGTTGGGATCTTGGAAAAAAGTTCAGAGAAGAGCAACTATAATGATCAAAGGCCTGGAGACTAAAACATATGAAAAATAGCTGCAAGACTGGCTAGTTTGGCTAGTCTAAAGAAAAGAAGAAACAGGGCGATATGATAGCAGTATTCCAGTATTTGAGGGGCTGCCACAAATAAGAAGGTGTCAAACTATTCTACAAAGCACCAGAGGGCAAGATAAGAAACAATGGTTGGAAACTGACCAAAAAGAAAAGCAACCTGGAATTAAGGAGAAACTTCCTAACAGTGAGGACAATTAACCAGTGGAACAGCTTGCCTTCAGAAATCGTGGGCACTCCATCACTGGTGATTTTTAAGAAGAGACTAAAAGTCACTTGTCTGAAATGGTATAGGTCAGGGGTAGGCAACTTTGGCTCTTTTATAACTCATGGACTTCAACTCCCAGAATTCCTGAGCCAGCATGGCTCAGCTTGGAAACCTCTCTCTTTCCCCTCAGCATGGCTGGCTCAGGAATTCTGGGAGTTGAAGTCCACGTGTCATAAAAGAGCCAAGGTTGCCTACCCCTGGTATAGGTTTTCCTGCTTGAGCAGGGGGCTGAACTAGAGAACCTCCAAGGTCCTTTCCGGCTCTATTCTATTCTACCTTCAAGGTCCCTTCCAACTCTCTTATTCTGTTATTCTTCTTCCTTTCCTCCTCTGGCAACTCTGATTTTCTTTCTCTTGTACGTGTCCACTGTGCTGCACACAATAACACAAAATACCTGTGTGAATACTTTTCTTTTTCAGATAGATTGAGTGATTATGAGATTGAAGACACCTGTGACATTAAAGTAAGCAATCTGCTTGAGAGATCACAAATACCTAATAATGCAATTTAAGGCACCAATAATTATGTCCATGCCATTTTCATTTGTTTTATTATTTACAAAACTATGTTGTCCTACATCAAAACCAAATTGTCTGCTGTATGGACTATGGAATAAAAAATGGTGCATCCTTATCTACTTAGGTCAGTTTCAATTCATTTCATGGGAAATTGGGATTCTCTAGGGAAAAGTGGAGGCATCCAATACTTTTTGACCACATCTTTAGCAATGTTGCCCAATTTTTGAGGAATGAGATATAAATTTCAATAACATACACTGTTAAAGTAAAAAGTAATAATGACACTTCTCAATGGAAATATACACATTTGTGTTCTTCAGGCTGACATTGTATATACATTAAATTCTATGGGGAAAACACTTTGCATATACTGTAGTTATCTGCTGCAGTACACATGGCCCAGTTTAGGTATTGAGACATAAGAAACAGGAACTGGAAACCAGTGTTGTGGGAGAAATGACTGGGCTCCTCATCAGAAAGCAGAGTCCCCAAACCAACAAGGTTACAAGTTATATATACTCTGAAATGGTATATAAGACTTACAATAAATTATAGCAGGGATCTTCAAACTTGGCCCTTTTATGACTTGTGGACTTCAACTCCCAGAATTCCTCAGCCAGCATGCCTGGCTGAGGAATTCTGGGTTTTGAAGTCCACAAGTCATAGAAGGGCCAAGTTTGAAGACCCCTGAAATTATAGCATAACCTTCACAGCTGGAGTGTAGCATCTGATAAGAAAAATCAGGTGATCTTAGTATGGATTCACCTGGTGTGTCTAAATTCTGTGTTTTTAAGGAGGCTCTAAGCCAGGGCTGTCAAACTGCCAGCCCACGGGCCAGACGCATCATGAGGAAACCGTGCCCACCCCATTGCCGGCAATGGGGAAAAAGTTCCGATACGTCGTGCGACATCACATGACGTAGTGAGTTTGACATGTCTGCTCTAAGCCCACTCTTTCCACAAACACAGGCACCTTCTTATAGAAACAATGTACTTTCACACCAAGAAAAAGATAACAACTTGGTTTATTTTCTCTGTCTCTTGACTTCCAGGGTCACTGGGCAGTTTTAGTTTGCTTTCTCTTTCTGTTGTGTGATTCAAAATCCCTCACAGCAGTCAGCTATGTAAGAATGGAATATTTGTCCCCTACATCAAACCTGTATAAGGTGAGATATGAAGGGTTGCAGTAATGAGGTAATTCATTTTACTAACAATAGGGTGGGTTTTTTTTTTTTTCTATTTATTTATTTTTAGTATAGAAAATGAAGTGAGGGGAGGAAAGGCAGTCTTTCTGTTACGAGGAAGAACCTTTGGTTTATTTTTTAAAAAGATGGTGGAGTGCTAAATATGGTCTCTTCTAATATTTCAGCTGAACTGAAAGATGCTTCCCCACCAGGCTGTTAACAATTTAACTTCTGCTGGCATCTCTGTTTCCAAGAGGAAGACAAGCAGGAAGTTGAATGCTCCACAGCTGAGAACACGCAGATTTGGAAGCAGCAGGCTGGACCAGATGGAAGAGTGATTACTGACGCTGAAAAGTTATCGTCTTTCAAAAAATCTTGGCATTTGAAATGACAGGATGGAAAAAAAATGAAAATGAGAACATAAAAGTGGGTTAGGCTTGTTGCTGGAAAGTTTTCTTATCACAGTCCCCTCTAACAGTGGGAAGCTGAGAAAGTTCCTCCACTTAAAAACAGGCCATGGCAATAAAGCACCCTTTCTCTAAACTGGTCTTCCCTTTGAGCAGCGTTTTCTATCCTGCTGTGGTCTGGAAGTGCTGGACTACAGTCTCCATTATGCCAATGGCTGTCTGGAGATGATGAGAGTTGTAATTCAGGACCCCAGAGAAGCAGCAGGCTTATATTATTTTTAGCTCCTCTTCCCCCATTCCTGCATTTCAGGCAGCTTCTAAATATAACACATATCCACTTTAAAAAAAAAATCTAACTGATGATACTAAACAGTAAAACAACAACTTACAATAGATCAATATGGGATCTTAAAATCCCCATACTGAATCATCTCAAGTTATATATATATTCTCATAAAGCAAGGCTTTTCACAAATCTGAAGAGAAGATCAGGCAATTGCTACTGAGGAAGTTCTTGAGAGTTGAGGTGTAAGTTGAAGACATCAATGGAGAGAAATCACAACATTATGGAGAGAAATCACAACATTATAAGGCCTGTACCAAATCCAGACTGCAAAAATCCAGATAGATAATTACAGTTTTCTGTATCTTTTTGCTCGCACCTTGTTATTTGAATTTCTGAAATGCAGATATGGTAACCATACTTTTTTACTTATTCCTCACCCACAGGTTTCACTGGCATCAACTCAATGCTTAAAAGTACATGAAAATTTGTGATATCTAAATATTACAGAATTTGCTTTCTTTAATTTGCTGACAGGGAAACACTTTCTCTCCCAACAAGGGAAGTAAGGCCAACAATAGCAACAACAGTGAAAGCCTACATAAATACATAGATAACATGAAAATATTTCATATACATGGATATCTAAAGATATGAGTCACTCTGAGTAATTTGGATAGAATAAGTGACATAACAATCACAGTTTCTGATTCCAAACAAATGAATGCCTTTGTTTTGATATGGAAACATTGTGCCAATTGTGCAGAAGAAGCATGAAATCACACTATTCTTCCAGGATTACATCTTCAGATCTAGTCTGCTACATGTCAATAATGTGGTATCAGAAGAGAACATGGGGTAGGTAGGAAGTATGCTGAGGTGTTTTTTTTTTTCATTCTACCATCCCTATCACATTCCAGAACTGTCTATATCACAAACCTTGGCCAGCAATAATCCTGGGCATATAATTTTTCCTGGCAATTCTCATTTCCTAGGCTTTTAATCATGGTATCAATATAGATAATTTTTCCTGGCTGAAATTTCCAAAAAGCAAGGAATGGAGTAAACAAAGGTTCCTCCAATTTTATTCTGAGACTCAACAACTTAACCCTCTCATACACCAATAAAATTAATGATGTGAAATATACAGTGTTAGCAGATAATAAAAAAATCCTGTATCTTGGAGATATACCACTTATATCAAGGACAAATATAGTCAATGGGCACAAATGAGAGAATTTTCTCAGGCAATTTAACTGGATTCAGAGCAAGGTAACCTAAACCATAGTTAAAGAAATCCTGCCACCTGATAAATACATGTCCTTGGTTAGGGGTGACTAATCAGAGACTGAAGTGTTTGCTGTGTAATGGTGAATAGACTGCCATGGCATTGTGCCAAAGAATAAAACATTTCAGGAGAAGATGACAAGAAATTTTTGCTTAATAATAAATGGAATTAGCAAAGGGACACACAGAGAGTAGAAGCTTAAGAGAACAGAAATAACATCAGACCCTGAGAATTAACTTTTCGGAGATGTCTTGCAATGCAGAGAAAGCCAGTTTGTTTTCACAGTAGGTTTCAGGTTAAATGCTATTTAATGAACCAGCAAAGCTTTTGAAGCTTCAGAATACTGTAAGCCTACCTAGATAGGCTACTTGATAATGCTGTCTAAATAACTGAAATATCCAAGAATAATCAATTATATGAAGCTTTCATTGCTTTAAAAAAAAGCTCATTCAAAACCAATTTTGCATTGTCAGGGCAGTGACAAACAAAGCTCTATGACAGGACATTAATTTCTATTCTCATGTTCAACTAAGACTTATAGATCAAGGACAGCTGATATACATGTACATAGGAAGGGCATTGTATCACTTTTGGTTACTGGGCTACCTAGCTTGGCATTGTTGATACTAATTGATAAGCACTCCCCAATATATCAGGCAAGAATCCTGCCCAATTTTATCTGGATATTCCAAAGTTTGAACTTCATTTCTGCATGTAGCTCAGTGGTATCTCCAGAGGGGGGTTGAAAAGTCAGACTTCTTTTTTTTAACCCCTTGCAGTCTCCCAAGTGAAAGCAGAATGAGGGAAATGATAGAACTGCGTCACTGATCACACATCCAGAACTTGCAAGCTACCCCTACAACCATTTAGGAACCAGGCTTTTAAAAAAACAACAAAAGCAAAAGACTTGCATGTTCAAACAGATAAAGACCTAAGAGAAAGGTGGTGGGGGGATGCCAGTGTTGCTGCCAGAGGAGACAGAGGAGAGGAAGAACAGAGACAAAAACACACTGGAGGGAATGACATGTGAAATCCTGTGGCCAGATGTAGCTGATGTCTGCAGTAGCTGTGAGATGCCCACAACCCTTAACAGCTTTATGGTGTTTCTGCTGTAAACCAACCTGAGCAGAAGGACAAATAAATTATATTTATAAGCTTTAAGGCCAGCAGGACATCTTGGTGACAATAGGAAGAAAGACAACACAAGGCATTATGTGACTGAACTAAAAAAGAAAATTTATTGCAAAGAAACCCAAAGTAGAAATCCTCCTAACCCAGCAATAGCAATGTATGTGGAATATAAACATTAAAATATTAAAAACATTATTATTATATATATTATATAAAAACATTTAAAAATAAAACATTAAAACATCAGACTAGGACAACATAGCCTTAATGGAAGGGAAAAATCAGACTGGTAATTGAGCTTCTTTTTCCTACTGGTATACGTGACTATATTAAAGGAATATCAAGTCACACATATAAGCATAGACATACATGTCAAAATCGTGCATCGACCATTCCAGCTTTATGTGGAGCCTGAAGATGTCTGTGGCATTATTTACACTTCATCTATTTACCCATACCTCCTCTAAAAATCATTTTTAAAAACATTATAAATGAATGAGAAGCTTCCACTTATCTGCTGGCATCCAAAATGTGAGGTAAACTCCATTTCAAAACACTGTCTAAGGAACTAATGATGCAAAAAGGAGAATGGATTGCTTAGGCACGTATTGCAACTCTTTCCTCTTTGCGGTTTGCCCTTAATAGTGTTGGAGAAGCAGCAGAAAGTCAGAAGTCATGGTCACATGAAGTTCTCACTTAATGACCCACGCAGTCTTCATTTGACAATACTAACTGGGAATGCCAGAACTGCTGCTGTTAAGCAGTATGGTCACATGACAACGTGCCTTACAACTGCTTCACTTTGTGATGGAAATTCCAATGCCAATAACAATCATTAAGTGAGATTACTTGTACACATAAAACTAGTTGCATTTTGATATCTGTGCTATTGAGTTCATGCCAACTGAGTTATGCCATGCCACTTGTACTATCTATCATGAGTAGGATTGTTCTCAGTAGGACACACAGAAAGATGGCTAAGCTGTTAGCTTAAAGAGTTTACAATCAGAACAAAAAAATACAGGCTAATGTCCAAACAGTGGTACTATGCTTATTTTGTATATAAATCAAAATATGAATTTCTTTAATTAATCACTGGAAAGAAAAGCCACTTCTCTACAAAAATGAGTCTATGGATGATTACCCTTAATACAGATAATGTGCAAATTATGCCAACAACCTGCAAGATAGATGGGGCTGAGAGATAGTGACTGGCCCAAAACCACCTCTTGAAATTCCATGGCTGAAGGTGGATTGAACCCGGGTCACCCCAGGTGCCAATCAATATTTCACTACCGACACTTTCTCCTTATAAAATTTCTAGCTTAACATTTCAAAGGAAGTCCTTTGCACTGCACTTTGAAGAGTCTGTTGCACTGTAGCTGCAGGAGGAAGAAAAAAATAGGATGAATCAAAGCAGCATATATCCAGATGATGCAATATGGCAACAGTCTCTAAAAGAAAGTGATGTTGGATGCTGCCAAGTTTCAAATTAGCTCCCTGCTTCATTAAAAACAGAAGTGCTGTTGACAAATTCCCCCCCACATCTTACCACCCACTTCACCCAGTAGAGGCAGAGAAGCCCAACAATTGTTTATTTCTGTTGCTTCCTGCTGTCTTTTTTTTCTTTTGAAATATCTCATCTTTTGAAAAGAATTTAAGATGGCTGATTGATTCCATGGTAATGGCTAATATTCAGACTGTAACTGAGATCCTATGTTGCTGTATAGCATATCTTTCAAACCAAGGACTGCCCTAAGTATTGTGTTAATACAGTACAAAATTTAGTGCCATGCCATGCAATTTAACATTAGCATATGATTACATTAATAAAGGTAACATGATTTTCCTTCTAACAGTGATGGCAACTTTTAGAGAGCATCTGAGGGCTGGCCCGAAGCCTCTCCATAGACTGCAGCGGGTGTGCTGCAGTGTGCAGCAGCAGCCAAAAAAGCTAATACAATCCTTGGTTATATAAACAGAGGCATAGAATCAAATCTCTATGATTTGTAAAACAGAGTTTATAGATTTGCCTGTTCTATAAAACAGATCATTATGGCTTATTTTTATAATCAAAATAAATCTCAGTTTAGAGAAGTGGTTTGGTGTAGCTGTTAAGATATTGGCTTAGAAACCTGGAGACTGTGAGTTCAGCTAGGTGACTTTGGGCCACTCACTCTCACTCACAGGGTTGTTGTAGGGAAAATAATGAATGGGAAGGTTCTAGAAAAGTTTAAAATTTTCTATTCAGCAACAGGCTCACTGAGCATGTGCAAGAAAACCTGAGTACGTGCCTGGAACTAAGTAAAGAATGTCCACATGTAGAGAACAAAAGAATACCCATATATGGTAAGGTAGGAGGTAAGATAGAATAATTGTGTCGTCTGATAGGTTTGTGACCTGCCACGTCAGGAATAGCTGACGTAGGTATAGGAGGAGATAGGGAGGGGTATAACTGCTGTTACGCTTCTGTAGGAGGTGTGGCTTTTCCCTGCAACTCTTGGGAGTGCATGGTTAAGTTTCACCACGCTTTGCAAACCGTTTTCTTTTACTAAACTCAACTTTGATAATAAAAGAAACTTTATTCTGCTACTCCGAACCTCGTCTCTGAATTTCTTTCAAGGAATTCTACAAACAAATTGGGGGCTCGACCGGGATCCAATCTGCGCTGGGACTCTGAGGGGTCCTCCTTAGGTGCACCCCTTTCCTTTTGAAAGGAGGGGAACCACCCAGAGGACTGCGGAGCTCTTGGAAAACCCGTAAAATTTTAATAAAGACGAGTATTAGGAGAAGGGTGAATAAAGTGCGGAACAGCCTGAAGACAGACCGGGTAACATCTGCGCGCAGACCCTGGTGAGTACTGGTTTGAAAACACCAGAACACAAGAGTCCAGGGCGGTCGGGATAGAGTGTGTGGATGTGAGAACTGGCAACGGGGCCGGGTGGAAGTCCTTTTGAGGGACCTCGGGGAGGTCTGCAGGACGGAGTGAGTGAAGGGGATATTATTGAATATCCGGAGACGGTGACGTGTGGAATTGAGAAGGAGTTGCTGGGAGGGACATAGGCACACATACTCAAGATAGGCTGAGCACCCATAAAAGAAATGGGGGGCAATACAGGGTCGACCAATCCGGGGAAAAAGTGTGTTAAAAGGATCCGTAAAAACCCCAAACTTAAAATCGACCCGAATGGCCCTTTGGGCAAAATATTGGCTGGATGGGGATCCCCGCCCTATAACCGGGAGATTTTGAGGTTGGGGTTGAATAAAGAAGATATGGTTAATTTATGTTGTTTTGTTTGGTGGGAGGACGATAATGTGGAGTGGCCAAGGAATGGCTCCACAGATTATTTTCAGTGTCACAATTTATATAACTATGTGAAGAAAAAGAAATGTAAGAGTTTAGATAATGAATTAGATTATGCGCTAATTTGGGTGACAGATGATGGTAGCAAGAGAACAGCAAGTGATGAAGCAGGAAAAACCTCCTAGAAGAGAGTTTGGGGATAAGAAGAGTCCCTTTGAGACAAGATAT